GGGTTTACGGGGTTTACGGGTTAAGGGGGTTTACGGGTTTACGGGGTTTATGGCGTTCATGGGGTTTATGGGATTGATGGGGCTATGGGGCTTAAGGGTAATGGGGCTTACAGCGGTTATGGGGTTTGTTGGGTTTAGGATTTTAGGTGCAGGATACCCCGCACCCAAACCCTAGCATAGCCAATGCAAAAGGGGGAATTCTATTCTGTATAACGGTCATATTTCATTCGAGCCTACCTCACCGGTTCTGACGATAACAGCTCAGCCGGTGTTTCTGCCGACCCTAAACCCAAAACCGATTCAACCCACTTCCTGCTTGAGCTCTAGCAGGCTGCACCAGTTCTGGCTGCCCCTACTGCATCCAAAAGCCGGGCACATGATGTTCTTCCGAGGGCGGCGGTTTCGGATTATGATTTCCAGGGCCTAAACCCTAAAACTTAAAACCTAAAACCCTAAAATCCTAAAGCCTAAACCCTAAACCCCTAAACCCCTAAACCCCTAAACCCTAAACCCTAAACCCCTAAACCCTAAGCCCTAAACCCTAAAGCCTAAACCCTAAACCCCAAGCTCTGATTCATGTGAGCAGTTGTCGAAATTATTGTCCTTTGTTGGGTACCCTAAAGATTAGGTGCCGTATTATAATAGGGACCCAAAAAGGAACCCCCAATTTTGACAACCGCCCATGTCTTTCCGCACATTCCGTACTTCCGAGCCCTTTATGTCGACTGAGCCTCGGCTTCCAAACATCCGGCCATCGCCAGAATCCAGTACCATAGTTAGGGGTTCTTCTTTTCAGTGGGTTACTATAAGGGATCTATAGTAGGGTTCTATAATGTGGGGGCCTCAATAATTAGAATAGGGTTTTGGGGTATATTATACTCTAACTTGAATAAGGAACCCCTGAAACCGTATTCTAAGAGGCTTGGCAAGCCGTTAAAGCCCTGGTTGTTTAGTTCCTGCATAAGCATAACTATGCGTGAGCACCCGTCGAAACTTCCCTACTTGTAGCTAAGAGTAGGATGGTCGTGGAATGTCAGATGTGGCCAGAACCCTCGAACAGCGATAGGACCCCCAACAGCGATACGATCATGTGCGCAAATTTTGTGCGTATGATATATGGCTAGGCAATCGATACCCTAGACGATTCCCAATCGCTTTATGAGCCGCTGCCCCATCTGACAGAATCCTCACTACTGCAGTAGTGAGATAGATCACTGCCATCCATTACTATGACCAATGTAACTATTGTTGCTTTGTCTTTACTACTCGTACTAACTGCGATTATGCATCTAAACAGAGTGAAGCGATACTCCACGGAAAACATCGACCAGGTCCTTGTAAAGCGCTAGAACCCCCAAATCATCCATAACCATGCCTTAAACAATAAGTTTTGACAACCGCTCATGTATGCCATACTTAAAGGATCATAGGACTTAGTAAGTAGGTTCTAACTGGGGTTATAAGTCCCTTAAGTGGGGTTATCCTAATTGTAACCTTCTTTCTACCTTACTTACTAAGTCCCATGAGACTTTAAGTAAAGGCCCACGTGCCAGCCCCGCCCCCCCCCCCCCCCCCCCCCCCCCCCCCCCCCCCCCCCCCCCCCCCCCCCCCCACCCCGCAGGGACCTCTAAAACCCCAAATCCGAGCCATAAGCCTTAAACCTTCAACCCTAAACCCCAAAACTCTAAAGCCTAAGCCCTAAAGCCCTAAAGCCCAAAGCTTCAAGCCTTAGCCCTGAACCCCCAAATCGAAAGAGACAATGCACTTAAAAAAGCAAAAAAACCCACAAATCCTAGCACGGCTGCCCGAGGCGCCGATGAGAGCTCTGCACCGAAGGTTCCCCTGTGACAGTTCAGAGCAGAAAGGGGGTTGTTTTTGGTGCAGAAGCCCAGAGAGCCCAATACCCCTTAATTAAGCAATTTACCTTAAACTATAAGGGGCTTCATATTATGATTTAAGCTACATTCCTTAATTAAGGGGTATTGGGCTCTCTGGGAGGAGCTTAGGGGGTTTAGGGCGGGCGGGCCCTTGAAACCAAAGGAGCTCCGAGGACCTCCAAACCCTAAACCCTAAAACCTAGGAAATCCATTGAGATTGCTTGAAAAAGCCCGATAACACAAAGCCCCGAGTCCTGAACCCTGAAGCCTTAAGCCCAAACCCCCGACAGCTCAGGGGTTTAGAATTGCGAATGCCTTCTCTGAGGGCTCCGTCACATGACGATATCCCGCAAGCATACACTGGTGATTGAGACCCCTGCGCTAGGCCTTGAACTTTTAAGGGGTGGGATAAGGGATCAGGATGACGATGAGTCTGGGGCTGAGGGCTTCAATTCAAATCTAAGGGTGTTCCGGGCTGCAGTGGATCTGAGGGTCTTGGGCTTCAGGGTTGCTGTAATGTCGGGGCCTTAAACATGACCAACACTAATTTCAGGGCTCCTTATGACAATCTGATAACTATGGTATAATAGGCACCGAAAACTCTGTTCTAAATATTCAGGCCCCTATATTAACTGTAGGGCTTCATGGCGTCAGAGCATACGCATCAGTTTTATTCGTTACCATACAGCACTAATCTCTGGGGGTTCCACGAGGGTTAGGATACTATTCGCACTATACTACAGTGCACTACACTATGCTATACTATATTCCATTAATTATGTCGCCAAGACTATATAAAACATGCTATGTACTATCATATACAATGTGCTTTATACGACATACTACGTACTGTATACTGTATACGAGATATTCGATACGAGATACTCGGCATATTAGATGTTCGATACTAGATACTCGGTACTGACAGGCCATCGGCAGCCTCCTCGGCGCCTACAGCGACAGCGAGGATGAGGCGGAGGCAGCGGCCTAGGTTCCAACCTCCGACGTACCTGACTTTGCCCCCAAGTCTCCAAGAGTTCTTAATAATTAGGTATAGATAACCCTAAGCCCTAAACCCTAAGGTAACTATAGTCATAAAGGTACTTCTTACCCTACTTACTACTTCCCATGATCCTCCAAGTAGGCTCCTCAGCCCCTATAAGTGCTATAGGGGCCGACCTAATGACGAATACTATGTTGGGGGTTCCCTATCAGAGCTATAGTATAGTATACCCCCCAAACCCTATTCTAACTATAAAGGCCCCTGTATGATGGAACCCTACTATAGGCCCCTTATAGTAACCCTGAACCCCTATGCTCATGATTAAGGCTCTTATAATACCCTAAACCCTAAACCCCAAACCGTAAGTACCAGACAAAGCACAAACATGAAGGAACATAGCTTAAATGAGAATATGAAGCCCCTTATAATGTAAGGTATATTGCTTGATTCAGGGGTATTGGGCTCTCTGGGCCAGACAAAGTCCATAGACCCTTCAAAAAAAGCGCGTATATTAGTAAGGCCAATATAATACCCAAAACCCTAAGTACCAGACAAAGCCCCCAAAGCCAGCAAAACATTACTATAGATCAGATCCCTTACAGACCCCTTTAAGGCAACCCTCTAAAAGGAACCCTATTCTAAAAGTTATTGAGGCCCTTATAATACCAGACAAACCCCAAAAGCCCTCAAAACGGAGCTCCTCGTGGAAAAGCTGGGCCCAGACTCCCCGGAGCGATGCGGCCGCAGCCGCAGCGGTGGCTGCCACGGCAGGCGAGGGAGAAAGGAGGGGTTTTAGGGTTCAGGGTTTAGGGGGGTTTGCGGTTGCGGGTTTAGAGTTCGGGGTTTGCAGCCGAACTCCTGCGTCCTGGGTTGTTCTTCGCTCCGGCGTCCTGGCTTCTTGCTGGCTCCGGTTTGATCCTTCTCGGTCGGACTCATTCGTCGTGAGTTGTTTGCTTTCTTTCCTGCGTTCGTTCGGACTCCGGTGTCCTGGATTCTTGTTCACTGACCTTTGCTCTGCCTCAGTAGCAAATGCAACTGCAACTCTGTGGTATTGAAAGACCGACTACACCTTTTATAAACGTAAACAATTAAGCAAATGTTTGCTACCATTGTGAGGACGGGCTGGAAAGATCCGCGGATTCGGACGTTCCGGTCGGCACACAAACAATTATTATGGAAACGGCCATCCGCCTGAGGTCAAATCCGCCAGTCTTTTCTGAAGTGGAGAGTAGCTGCCCTGCAGAGCGGTGGACGATAATTGTCCTCACTACTAGCCCTCTCTCTGCTTAGCAATCTCGGCTCGGGATTCACTCATGATGAAACCTATCTTCGGAAACAGATTGAGGTTGAACCATGTTAGACAAAGACATTTTGTGGAACAGTTTCGTCGGATTATTTAACGGTTCTCCAATGTCTTGGCCTATTTCGGGAAACCCTTAACCCTTATAGAGCCTTTTAAAGGAACCACCCCTATAGTACCCTTATAGTAACCCTTTAAAGGAACCTCAAGGTACCCCTAATCTTCCGAAGCAGAGGTCTGACACCCTCCTAAACCCTAAACCCCTAGTGGCAGATTCCGCACTCCCGTACGTTTTGAGGATGCTATAGGAATCCTTCATGTCATGTTCTAAAATGATTTTGGTCCTTTTTCGGGCACTATGGTGGTAAAGCCCTTACTATGTAGGGTAGCCCAAAAAAGACCTTGATTTAGAACAATCCCCACGTATCGCAGGTTCTCTGTTGCTTCCAAAAGTTGGCTTAGCATTTGTTCCTTGATCCATTTTATGGGTGGCTGCCGGCGCTGGAGACCTGCCGGGACCTTTCTCCTCGTCCTTCTGGTATGCGGAGCCTTCCATTTCAGACCCCGCTACACTTCTTCTACGTTTGTCAACAGCAGGCTTCCACTTCAGCACCCTAGGAGCGGTAGGAGCACCCTCCGATGGCTGCCGTGGTCGACAGAGCCTGAGAAGCCAAGTGGTGTTGTTCTCGTAGCTTTGTCATAGTTGGGTAACATTTTACATGTTTATGAGTACTTAAACACAATATAAGGGATATACACTTAAATTTTAAATCCTATCCCAACCGTGAACTAGGTAGATGGCTACGGAGGCAGCAAAGCCATGCTTCAGGAAAAGGCTGCTCTTCGCGGACTCTTAGTAGCAGAGCTCTGGTCGCCGCCCCATCCGAAGCCCGCACCCAGAGGCCCTGCTTTGAAGGACTGGTTGAGCAGGCTCTCGTTCTCTGTCTCAGGAGTCTTGGCATACTCAGATCCTCATGCTCTACCGATAGTCGAGGAAGTGCTAAGCTTGGTGGGTCTGACGGGCTCTGGCGATGTCACATCCGATGCACTGCTGGAGCAGGCTCGCCGTAACAAGCACTTGATGCAAGTTGCTAGGTTGGATTTTGGGACATTGTTTATTTTCCTTATTTGTGTTTATAAGGGACCCTATATATATATATATATATATATATAGATATCTATATATATATATATATAGATATTTTTCAGGGTGTTTTAAGGCCAACCCAGGTTGTCCTGAAAGAGGCCGGCCTCACTTCCTGCAGGTGGGTATTGGCATGCTCAGAGTCTGAGGTGCAAAGCTTCGTGGAAGCGGAGCCGTCACAAACGGCTGTGATGAAGCCCTTCCTAGGTGGGTAGTTGTCAAAGTTAAGGCCCCTTCTTGGGTACCCTAAATAATAAGTGGCGTATTATAATGGGGACCCAAAAAGGGACAATAATTTTGACAGCCACCCAGGTGGGTCTGCGGGCAACAATGTTACACTTCTAGACTACGGCAATCGACCTCGAGAGTCTGAGGCATTTGTCCGCCAGGTCTTCAGCAGCCGACCTACGGGGGCAGAGTCGATGCCAGTCCTGGTGCAGGAACACCTTCAAGGCGATGAGTACGCAGTTGACATTGTAGTCCGTGATGGCGAAATGGCCGTGATGGGTGTGTTCAAGTATGATGTCAGGCCCCTCAATGGTGCTGAATTCGTGGTGTTCGGCGTTTTCATAGAGCCGATTCAGAAAGGGTCGCCGGAGGAAGCAGTTGCAAACTATGCCATGGAGTCACTTGCTGCACTTGGCATGCGAAATGGCCCTGCGCATGTGGAGGTGAAGATGACCGCAAAGGACCCGGTCTTGATTGAGGCGAATTGCAACCGCTTCACAGGCCTCGACATGATCTTTGATATAGCCGAGAGGGCTGTGGGTTATACTGCCATTGATGCCTTCCTCGATGCAGCGGATGCCAGAGTGAGTGCCGAGGAGTGGCGTTCTCGCTATCCGGTGCTGCCTTCCCCAAATCTCCGTGCCTATGGCGGAGTAGCGCAAATGCATGCGCGAAAGTCCGGTATTTACGAAGGCGGTGACGAAGAAGCAGCTGCTGAGATCATGGAGTTGGATTCTGTTTACAAGCTGGAGAGTCGTGACATTGCTGTTGGTTACCCTCTGGCCAGGACTGTAAGTGACGCCACGTGTCCCGCAGAGGTGGGCTTGCTCTGCAACAGCAGATCCCAGCTGATGGCGGACTACGATCGCATATTCCAAATCGAGCGAAGGATGTTTCGCGTAAAAGAAACAGGCTTCAACATCTGGTACCGTACTGCGCTAGAGCCCTGGCAGACTTCACAGGCGTACAGCATTGGCAACAGTTAGTACCGCAGCAAGGGGGAGAGGGGGTCGGCAAGAGGCGGCAGGGGAAGGAGGGGTGGGGGTAGGCGCGGTCACTGTAAGCCCAAGGTCTACGCTCTTTGAGGGTTTGGGCTCAGGTCTTGAGTTGCATCGTGTTGTGTTTAAGGGTCTTTGGGGGCTGGGAGCTTAGAGCTTGTAGGAGCTTAGGAGCATCGAGTGTTCAGTTCAGCAGTTTAGGGCTCAGGGTTTTGGAGAGTTTTAGCTTCGAGCACGCGGAGTTTTGGAGCAGGATTGGTTTTGTTCAGCTTCAGGGCGAGGTTTCCAAAGCACGAAGGAACGGGAAGAGCCAGAAGTCTGTGTCAGTGTTGGCTTATGTGCAAGGTCTCGTCGTATGGCCAGCACAAAGTGAACTTTCATCCGCGACGCCCTGACAGCTGAACACCAACCCCAGACTCCTAATTCCTTAAGCAAGCTTCGCAGGACGCGACTTGGCTCCCATGACGGACCCTATCCTTACCTTTGGTAAGTAGGGAATGGAGGAATGGGGTACAATTATAACTACTATTACTACCATTCTTCCATTCCCTACTAACCAAAGGTAAGTATCTTATGCAGTGGCAGAGATCGGTCGGACTCTTTCCGTCCTAGGTTCTTGTTCATCGCCATTTGTCTAGTCAGAGTCTCATTGTGAATCCACCATCAGATACTCGTTTCTGTTGAGAAAAAAGCTGATGTGAAGCATCCTTGTAACATAGGGGCCTTAATACTTACCTATACTAGTTTGGGGTTCCTTATTATAACTATAGTATAATGGGTCCCCAAACCCGATTCTAATTACTAAGGCCCCTGTAATTTAGTACCCTTATAGATCCCTTTTAGTAACCCTTCTAGACCCCTTTAAACGAGAACCCCTAGTCTAATTATTCAGGCCCTTATAATTCCGGACTCTTCACGGCTTGGCCTGGCCACAGGGGCGAATGTGGCGAAGGCGCTTGCATCGAAGACTCGGCCAGCCGCCGAGGTGCTACCACAGGGGCCTTAGTACTTACAATAGGGTTCCCTCTAAACGGGTCTAGAAGGGTTGCTATGAGGGATCTAGAAGGGTACCAAATTATAGAGTCCTTAGTAATTAGAACAGGGTTTTGGGGCCCGTTATGCTATAGTTATATTCAGGAATCCCCAAAATAGTATTGGTAATTAGTTAGGCCGCTGAAGAGTCATCAGCTTTCGCAGATGCATGGGTCCTTGCTTCGGGGACTTGAAGCCTGCAAGAGGGGGTAGTTATCTCCCGAAAAACTCTGAGGTAGGTTGTTTTTGTTGTTCTGCATAACCGCTAAACTAAAGCCGATGTCCTAGATATCGGGTTGGGATATTCTTTAACTCCCTCTCTTGTTTAACATAGCGCCCAAATCATATGAAGCTTTGGGGACTGTTGAAATCGACACCTAGTATGGTGCATGATTTCAAGCCAAAGGTATGTCAACTCTGGCCGGGATGAGGGGATGCAAAGCAAGCTGGAAGCAAGCAGGCGTAGGATAGGTGCCAAGTGCCCTACTTCGCCACCACGGAGATTTACTCTTTGGTGTGACCCCTGATTCAAACAATTTGTTCATCAAAGGGCGGAAGATTCAGATCCCTATTGTTAACCTGATTCGACGACGGGGTCTGTGAATCAGTGGTGAAGAATCGTGCGAGCCCGAAACAGGCCCTGGAGGACCTTGCAGCATTGCAGCAAACCTATATGGCAAGTGAGACCTCATAAAGTCCCTAGTAGAAGCCGGGACACCCTTCATAGAACCCGTAATGGAACCCTCGTTTCTAACTCGTTGGGAGGATTGGTGCTAGGATCCCCGATATTTTACCTCAAAGGCATGAGGATATGGATGTTCCAACTTTCTGGCTTCTACTATAAAGCCTTCTGGTTGCACAGGCTTCAGCAGCGGCTACGAAGATCGCCCTTTGCTCAGATTTCAGATCCTTCATAGCAAGCTGAAGCCGCAAGGTGTAGGTCAAGCAATGTAGGGGCCTTAAATTATGAGAATAGGACTTTTTTTTTTTTTTTTTTTGGGGGGGGGGGGTTTATGATACTCTAGTTATAGAAAGGAGCTCCCAAAGGCCCTAATGTAATTATTAAGGCACTTGCATTACGATAGTTTGGCCCTATCGAACTGTCTGTTCATACTGTACTAGTACTTAGACTCTTCGGGGAGACTAGGATGCCCAGTAGTACCCTTATTCCCTTTTTGTAGTCCTAAGTTCCTTATAAAGTTACCCAATACCAAAAGGGGAGCCCTTTTTATGCCTAGGTTACTGGGCATCCTAGTAGGAGGAGCTGTTTTTCGCAAACGGGGCGAGGGTTCTTTGCCGGGGTCGGGATGCCGGGACAGGCATCCACAGAAAGAAATCGAACCGACTTTATGGTCCGATCTTAAGACTCCCCAATATGGGGGTTTCCGAAAACTAGGGGTACCTTATTTTGGGGTCCTTATAATAAGGGTCCAATTATTTAGGCTACTATATCAGCGCCTAATTGGGGGTTATAAGTCCCGTAAGTGGGGTTATCCTACTTATTTCCTACTTATGACTTTGCCTTCCTGTGTCCCATGAGCCTTTAAGTAGCATCCAGCCCTGGGAAGCTGATTCCTCGCAGGGCCCGAGGACACATGGGAGTTTCCGAAGATAGGGGACCCCAATATATAGTACCCTAAACAGTAGGATCCTGATTATAAGGAACCCCAAAATAAGGTACCCCCTAATTTTCGGAAACTCCCATATAGGACTTTCAATAGGGCTTTTGGGGTGTACTATACTCTTATGAGCAGGAACCCTACAATGAGATGCCTTCTTGAGGATGATGACAAAGCTTCCACCTGAGGGTCCCTCTGGAATCAGGATCGATCCAGGTTTTTGCTCTGAGACCAGCAGTGCCCTTATCATCAGGATCCTGCAATTCAGGTTCATAGAAAAGTCAGTAGTGTTCGTGTGAGCATCCTCTTACTTAGTTAGGGCTTATGATAGGGTCCTTCATTTTATTTGAAGCTCCCAAAGTCAGCCGCTAAACCAGAAACGCTAAACCCTAAACCCTCAACCCTGAATTCAGAACCTTAAGTCCTAAACCCTGGACCCGAAACGCTGAGCCCTAGGCCCTAAACCCTAAATCAACCCCGAACCCTAAGCGCCCTCATTTTCGGAGGTGCCGCCGGCGCCTGCAGCGCCCAAAGTGCCCACAGCACCCGTGAAAGCTCCGACGAAGAGCCGCCAGGAATCCACCAAGGCGGTCGCTCGTTCGCCAGAGAGCCCAATCCCTCTTAATTAAGCAATATACCTTAAACTATAAGGGGCTTCACATTATGATTTAAGCCCTATTCCTGAATTAAGGGGTATTGCTTGTACAGGGTTTCGGGTTTAGGGTTTCGGGTTCCCCAAAACCCTATTCTACTTCCCTGAGGCCCCTACGTTAAGATGCAGCAGCCTGCACGTCTACCCCATGACCTTGCAGGCCACGGGCGTGTTGCGCCGAGGCCCGCGGAAGTTGAAATTTTGCTACCTTTTGCTACGGTTGATGATACAAATCCTGCATTACTTCAAGGACCTTAAGCTATGGGAATTCTGGTATATTCCTGGTTATGGGTAATGCAGGATTTATATTATCAACCGTAGGGGTCGGGCAAGAAGGCAGTGAGAAGGGCAACCACACAGGAACTGAACAGAATTTGGAGGGTAATCCTGTATCGCACATAAGAATCAAACAGACATTGCACTGCAGTCTGGTCTGGCTTCTTGATGTTGATTCCGTGTGAACTTGCAGACTTGCAGGTTTCTGATGAAGAAATCCCTCTGGAGTGACACCTGCGCGGGAACTTGTCGCATCCGCCAACCCGGAACCTTCCACGCAAGCTCGGCCACCATCACCAAGTTCCATGGTCCCCTGAGTAGACTCCAAACCCGAAACCTTCTGGACCTCTTTGAGGAACCTTGCTTACTGACTCCCATGGTCCTCCAAGTAGACCCTAGACCCTAAACCCTAACCTTGCAGATCCCTGTTTCGGAGCCTTGAAGGAACCTTACTTATTGAGTCCCATGGTCCTCTAAGTACAAGTGCCAGGATCATCAGATCTTCAGCCAAGGGAGTTTCCGGACCTATGTTGTAGGGACTCACTATACTACTATACTATATATATATATATATATACACATACACACCCTACACTTTGTGATACCCGATGCCCTTTGCCCAAACCAAACCATGCCATACCATACCCTAAACCTATTCTTCTGATTCAAGCCATGTACTAAACTCGAAGAAACCCCCTTTGAAGTCCTGTAATAACTCTGGCAAGAACCCTTTACGAATTTTACATGCCCCTAGATTGGTAGAATCCCTTGAACATTTCCGCGCAGCTACGACCGCTCAACTGGCTGCAGCGGCACGACATGATGGGGTTGCTGCTGTCTCGCTTGGGGCGTTGCTCGGAGTTCACAAGGTTCAGGGTTTCGGGTGTATCGGGGCCGTGCGCGGAGTTCAGAAGTGTTGACGGTCATCCCATGAAGTTGCTGTGGGGTAAAGGGCTTGGCCCCGAGTCGTAGGCAGGCTACGGGCTTCAAGTTTCAAGCAGTTATCTAGGTGGCAATTTGGGAAACGTTTTAATTTCCCTTTTGGTTCCTATAGAGGTACCTATTCATAAATACTTTTCAGAGCCCCAAAACTACAACCCAGTTATGCGCGATGAGCGGTGGAGCTTGCAATAGGTCCTGGGTTGCTCAGATCCCTTAAGCGAGGACCCACAAGTCTGGGAACCCCGCATACAAATTCCTCGACAGGTTATCACACCCTTACTTAGAGGATCATGGGACTTAGTAAGTAGGTTATAATTGGGGTTATAAGTCCCCTAAGCGGGGATATCCTAATTATAACCTACTTATAACCTTACTTACTAAGTCCCATGAGCCTTTAAGTAGGCTTTGGGGTATATGACAGTATCGTTTGCAATTGTTTTTCAATCTTCTAGCTTCAGTTCCGATGT